TATCCCCGGATGAAGTTACTATAGTAGCTGGTCAGGCCTAGGAAGCTGCGAAGCTGCTTAGCGGATGTGAGAGCGGGCCACTCCACAATAGCAGTGATCTTCGCGTCGTCCATGTGGAGACCCTGGTCAGACACGTAGTGTCCTAAGAAATCCACTTTGTGCTGGGCAAAGCGGCACTTGCTTAGCTTGGCGTAGAAGCCATGTCYGCGCAAGCGGTCAAGGACGTCGCGGAGGTGTCTGAGGTGCTCCTCAAGGGTACGACTATAGACCAGGATATCGTCGAGGTAGACGAGAACGTACTGCTCCAGGATGTCCCTGAAGATGTCRTTCATCGCCCTCTGGAAGGTAGCGGGTGCGTTGGTGAGGCCAAATGGTATCACCGTGAACGCATAGTGGCCGAATCGTGATCGAAACGCGGTCTTCGGCTGGTCGGCTGCAGCGACGCGGATCTGATGGTAACCACTACGAAGATCAATCTTCGTAAAGAAGCGGTTGTCTGCTAGGCGGTCGAACAGCTCATCGGAACGAGGCATGGGGTAGTTGTTCTTAACCGTGTAGCGGTTGAGGCTGCCGTAGTCGATGGAGGGAGATGGTGTGGGCACTAAAGGCTCCGGGGGAGGAGGATCGGGGCGTGGTGTCGCCGTGGTACCTGTGAAAGGTACGCGATACGTCTGTCCACACTTCGTTTTGAGAAGGAGAGTGTTGGTCGCCCAATTGGCCTCGATGCTGCGGAACCAACGAGACCACGGAGTGCCGAGAATGCAGTCATACCCCATCTCCATCACATCGAAATGTGCAGAGGAGCGGTGGTGACGAGACGGCGAAGAACGCTCAGTCGGCTCGAGAGTGAGGAAGAAGGGGAGGTCGGTGACCGTCTGATCGAAGAAGCGCTGGGTCTTGTCATCCCCTAGGGTAACAGAGATGGGAATCGGAGACCCTGTCGTGGGTAAGCGGGCTTCCTTCACCACGCGTGGGTGAATGAAGTCGCCCTGAGAACCGGAATCCCACAACGCTGAGTACACTCTCGTGGAGGTCCCGAGTCGTACGGGGATGATCGGGAGGGTGCAATCAAGGTCAGAGAGGATGGCGGGAAGGCGACGCTGTGCAGCGACATGGAGGGTGAGTCGCTCCTAACGAGCCTGGAGCATGCTCAAGTCTAGAAGAGAGGACACAACGTCCTCGCGAGTAGCAAGCTGCTCGCTGCAACGGGCTGAGCGAATGGCTCGACACGTCGATAGTCGAGGCGGGGAAGGAGGGGAGACCGTGGTCTGCGGAGGCGCAGACGGTACTGTGACAGAGGGCTGAGTACACTGTGCTGAGTCCTGCGATACCTCAACTCCAGTAGCGAGAGGGGCGAACCGCGACGAAGATGTCGGGAAGCCCACTACTGAGGAGGGCGTAGGTGTACACTGCACCGTGGCTAGGAGGCGCCGCAGGGACGTGAGGTGCCGGGGGGGGACTGAGCACGACGCTGACGAGAAAGGTCAGCGTAGTGGTGGTCGAGGGCGGTAGTGTAAGGGCAGCGCGAGGAGGTATGACCGTCCAAGCGGCAGCCCAAACACCCACGCCGGCCCAGAATAGCCGCGCGCTCCTCAGGGGAAAGGACACCACGAGGAGGGACGAAGCCCTGAGGGAGGTCCTCCTGAGGGACCTCGGGGGGCGATGCGCCAGCGTGACCGGGCGGCTGCGTGCCCGAGAGAGGGCAGAGAGCGCGAGCTGAAGGCGCTCAGCTGCAGGGAGGGTAGAGTCCTCCAAGTGATAGTGGACGGCCTCGCAGAGATCGAGGTCGTCGCTGTGGTCGCCCTCAGATGACAGTGGGGCAACAACGTCCTGCTCACCATACTTCAGCGCGCTGAAGCGACGCGAGAAGTGGCGGCCCTGCTGCGTGGAACGGCGGGGGCGACCGCAGAAAAGGGAACGGCGCTGGGAAGTGCCGTGAGAGGAGGAGGAG